CAATTCCGACGGTGAATAACCCCAAAATACTCGGAGTAACATTCGACGGCCTGCTCTCCTTCTCTGCGCGCGCAACCGCTATTGTGAATAAAGTACAGAGCCGCAACAAGGTCCTCAAGTCGCAAGCCGGCAGTACTTGGGGCAAAGACAAAGAAACGTTGCTGGCAACATACAAGGCAATAGGCCGGCCGGTTTTAAACTACGCAGCGCCAGTGTGGTCGCCGGGGACTAGTAGGACGCAGTGGACGAAGCTACAGACTGTACAGAACACCGCACTCAGGACAGCGACAGGACGCCTCCTGATGTCGCCCGAACATTATCTCCACGACGAGGCACAAATGCTCCCCACAAAGGAGCACAACATAATGCTCTGCAAGCAGTTCCTGATCGGGAGCCACAGAAGGGGCCACCCAAACAGACAGCTGCTTCCAGAGGAGCCCTCGCCTAGGTACGTCAGGAGGCATCTATATGAACTGACGGACGAAGTCCAGAGGTTCATCAAGCAACCTCTGGACCCGTCAGCTTACCGACTGGCCCTGAACGGCATTCACAGGGAGTCAGTCTCGAGTCATGATTCAATAATACAAGGTTAGATATTGACAGCTGCGGTTTGACACTCCCTTACAAAAAGTTGCATTTACGAAGGACAGAGAAAGGGCAAGAATGCAATCCCTTGTTGCGAAAATGGTAGTAGAAAAGTACGCAAAGTAGGCAATTAGTAGTGAAATTCCTTTCGTAAATTCTAATGTATTTGCAGGAAATCTGGCTATAATCTTTATATGCTATTTAGCCGTATAAAAACTGCGAAATGACTCAAAATTAAAAAAAAAGGCTACTATGAGATTGATGTAAACATCCAATGCTTATGTTTTCATCAGTTAAATATGCTTCATATGCATATACAAATAAACATATTGCACAAAAGCATATACTTTTATTTCACACCAAAGCTACACTGTTTCCATGTAAGTTTGCAAAGAAGCAACACGGTGCCACTGCTAAGGGAGCGGTGCGAGAGAGACAACTGTCAGTTTTTCGAACCTTGTATTATTGAATCATGGTCTCGAGTTATGTGGACTCTAGACCTGTGAATGCCGTTCTAGGCATACCGCCCCCGGACATAGACGTGACGGAGCTTCATCTGCCTCGGGAGACACGAACGACAATAGCCCAACTCCGCTCCGGCTACTGCAGCAGGTTAAACTCCTACCTGAGTAGATTGAATGAGGATGTACCAAATGAGTGTCCGGCATGCGGAGAGACTCCACATGACTCGAAACATCTCTTCGCATGCCCGGAAAACCCGACAACCCTAACGGCTTTGTCCTTGTGGACCAACCCAATAGAAGCTGCACGTTTCCTAGGGTTGCCGTTAGTGGAACTTGACGACAACGACTGAGATACCAACCGATCTGATGTAGCCTTGGGAAAGGATAAAGTAACTAGAATTCCCTTTCTGTGTGGTAAACCTGGGGCTGCCGCCCTAGTGATGTCTATTATGGTTATGATCAGGACTAAAACTCCTATCGATCCCAATATAAATTTTTCCAATCAGAGAAATGTACGTATTCTGCACGTATTAAGCATTGCCTTCTTTGTATGTATTGCTTTGTACAATATGGCAACACATGTTATGTGTTAGTTTGCAACCATGTGTTATTTGGGGTGTTCACAGTTCGTTCCAAATTGTGTCTGAAAATGTAGACGTCTACATTTTGAGACATCTTTAGCATCAAACTGTGAGCACCCCTTTCTAGCAGTCGTCGCAATATCGTCTCAAAACTTTGCTGGTGTTGCCAGACATTTCTTCTTTGCGTGCTTTTTTATATGTCGCCTTTCGATTTTGTTTCTGAAAAATTGTAATTATTTAACTTAATTACCAATTCCTAATATTTGTTATTTCTTTTCCATGATTTGTTTCTTTTCATCAGAAATTGCGCTCAAATTAAATGCAAATACAGAAAACGTGCCCAATAAATAAAAAAAAATGCGATTAGTATTGCCATAATGCAACCCTGCTGCGAGGTTGCAAAATGTAGACGCGTAAAAAACATACCTTTGAGTGTGACAAAATGTAGACGGCGTCGTTTTCCAATTTTGTATGGGAAACAACAACACCACAGATTTTACGGTTAGAAAACGTCTTAAAATGTAGACGTCTACATTTTGAGACACTATTTGGAACGAACTGTGAACACCCCAATTGTATGTATTGTGAAGTATTAAGTACAGTGTTTTGTGCATTTATATATAAGAAAGTATGTGAAAAATGCAATTTTTGTTAAGGAAATCTAGTGGAACGACTTAAGAAATTTTAATAACAAATAACTTACGAACAATGATATTGTTTATATTTTTTATTTATACATGTTTTAGAGGATACTAAAGCCCACCCGTTTTCTGCACACTCACGGTGTAGCAAACAAAGGTGGCGCCGTCAGTGGTACCCCTACTTTGGTTTTGCAGATTTTGACAGTTGTGATAACTTGTAAATAAAGCTTTGTTTACAAATCAGCAAAAGATAAATTTGAATTATAAGTTAAAAATCAGTTTAAATTGTGTTAATTTGCAATTTGTGAGCGATTTTTGAGTTGAAGACTGCGTAAAAACTAATACAATGAAGTGCTGTGGGTTAGAGTGCGACAGCCGCCAAGATGCAAGAAGCGTAGATGCAAGTGTAGCGCTGGGACGAATTGCTGCATTTTGTGTACATAGGGCACGGCAAAGCCGCTCCCAAAATGTTTCTCTATTACAATATTAACAGCATTTCCACACAATGATTTTGTTTCTGCTCCACGCAGCCTCCATTAGCAAGTTAAGTAATCAATCCCGCAGAGATGCTGCTGCAGTTTTCTGCAGTTTCCCGCAGAGATGCTGCTGCAGTTTTCTGCAGCAGCCTTAATTGCAAAGCAATAAAGTGCACTAAAACGTTTGCTGAAGCAGGCTCAATTGCAAAGCAATGGAGTGCACTAAAATGTTCACTGTTCTCTAATAGATTAGGAGAAAAATGCAATATTTTCGCATTTAGCAAAATTAAAACACGTTTTTCGCAGTAAAGTGAACTGCTTTGGCAATTTCAACTCGTTCTTCTTTTCGCTCTATTCTTTGTTTACTTGTGGTACACAAATGTCAACGCCCAGGACGGCGCAATCTTGTATTCTATCATTCTCGCTGCACACTTGCATTTGTTTGAAATGGTTTGTTATCGTATATTTTGTTAGGTCAAAATTTTCAACTTTAACAAAAAATTACCCGTTTTCAGTTTTGTGATGTTCACGATCCCCTCGATACCCCCCATAAATTCATTTTGTTCAAAGCTTGGTGCACTCTCGCGAAGTCAACCCGATGCTTCGAAGGAAACATCGATATTTTCGATAGATCGATGTTTTTTTGAGAACGCTAGCTTGGTTACGATTTAAGATTTATTGAAGGTTTTTTGTCCATTAAAATGGCCGAAGAATGGCCATCCCAAAAGTTTCGCCAAACTATGATAGCAAAAATGTTCGTATTTATTTAATAAGATACTCAGTATAAACGTTCTCAATTTTTCCTCATAGCAACCAAGCTCTGCAGCCGACGGATCCTACGAAGAATGCGGGTGTTATGGAAAATCACATTTT